TTGACATCATAATCCGGTTCAGGCAAGGCAAAGCCAGGGCAAACATTGTACGCCAAGAAAAGAAATAGAAACATTGTTTCATTCCTCCTCTTCTCTGTATGCTCTCTCTGTGTGCAGACTGAACGGTGAGTCTAAAACAGGCTTCCCCAAACTCTGGCCCTCCAAATGTTGCTGAACTACAACTCCCATGATTCTATGAATTAAATAATTGGCTGAGAATCATGGAAGTTGTTGTTCAGCAACATCTGGAGGGCCAGAGTTTGGGGAAGCCTGGTCTAAAACAAGGTCTAAAAGGGAGCTAAGATGGAGGAGACCAGTGGCAGGATTAAAAGATGTCGAATTCTACATTTAATGTTATTTTTCACACCTCACAAATACATATTAGTTAAATGTAGGGAAAGGTAAATGTTGTGCTAAAAATCTAGAGATTTGATATATCTCCCCTTTAATGCAATATATCAGTGGCACACTTTACTCCCTTTCTGCTGGGTCATAGTGACATGGGGCCCAGGATATGATGTCATACACATTCGTATTTAATACTTTTACTATGGTGCAACAAGGGAAAACAAGCCTTGAGCAATCTGTACTTTGGGGAAACCTAGATATCACTGCTCCCGCTACTAATCCCACATATATTGCAGACCACCCTTCTTTTCCTCTAAAATAAACACTGAAAAGGGGGGTTGGAAGAGAAGAAAATAATGAAGAGAAGGTGACGAAAATATTCACACACCAAAGCTTTCCTCTCTGTAGTCCTGCTGCAGCTTGAACACATTTATTGCTTAAAAGGCCACTTTCAAAACCTGTTTGGCTGTGAATGATGTGCGTTGGCGTACAGCCCCGATGATTGCCTATACGTGGTACATGAAGAACCAGAACATCATCCATCTATTAACCCCTTAAGGACACGTGACGGAAATATTCCGTCATGATTCCCTTTTATTTCTGAAGTTGTGTCCTTAAGGGGTTAAGGCCTAGATTAACCATTGGGTTTGTGTAGTAGTTTGGCAAGATCCTAGTAGAATATGCGAGGCCTAAAATACTGACGGTAACATACCCAGAACGGCTGAGTGGAAGTCTTGATTATTGCAATAACTTACAAAAAAAGGGAAATACAACACCATCCACACAACACATGGCCAATATTGATTTACAGAAACCACAAACCAAAACTCTTAATGGGCCTTGCGTAATGTTGTACAGACTCCAAAACCAGGAAGAACTATTACTAATCTGTCATTAAATAGGGCAGGCAGCTCTGATCTACAGCCACATTACCTTATCTTGGGATCCTGTATTGCTTTATCCATGGCTATGTCAGTCTCAGGTAGACACCACGTCATTCCAACATTGCGAAAGACAATAGAGAATTGCAGGAGGTCATCAGTCAAATCTGAGTTATAACATACTTGTCCTGATACTTACCTGTTGCAGTCTTAGACAAATGGTTCTTAGACTTTCTTTGAAGATCTCTGACTCACTATCTACGTATGAATTGTGATTTCTAAGTCCTATGATACAAATGGGTCTTGTGAATTATGCTACATATCCTTTAATTATTATTATTATTATTATTCTTATCGTAATTTATATAGCGCCAACAGATTATTATTAACAGCACTTTACAATATTATGAGAGGGGGAATTTAACTATAAATAGGACAATTACAAGAAAACTTACAGGAACGATAGGTTGAAGGGGACCCTGCTCAAATGAGCTTACAGTCTATCGGAGGTGGGGTGTAAAACACATTAGGACTGGAAATAGCAATCAAATAAGGTGGAGTGAAGCAGAGCTGGAGGAGAGAGTACAGTGCTGCCCTTTCGGAGAGCACAAGAGACAGATATGTGAGGTAGAGGTTACTCTGGGAGGCCATAAGCTTTCCTAAAGAGATGGGTTTTAAGGCACTTCTTAAATGATTGAAGCCTAGGGGAGAATCTGATGGCAGTAGGCAGGCTATTCCATAGAAAGGGAGCTGAGCGCGAGAAGTCCTACAAGCGTGAGTTGGCCGTATGGGTGTCACGGGCAGAGCAGAGAGACCGAGAAAGGGCATACCTATGGATCTGTGAAGAGATATAGTAGGGGCTAGAATTGTTCAGTGTTTTATAGGTATGGGTTAGCACTTTGAATTGACTCCTGTAGGATACAGGAAGCCAATGTAAGGACTGACAGAGGGGTGAGGTTTGAGAGGACCGACTAGAGAGGAAAATCAGTCTGGTGGCAGCATTCATTACAGACTGTAGCGGGGCAATACAGCTTTTAGGAAGACCAATTTACAATAATCCATGCGAGAAATTACTAGACCATGGACAAGCTCTTTGGTAGCATCTTGCGTAAGAGAGGGGCGGATGCAGGCTATGTTTTTAAGATGGAATCTACATGATTTGGCAACATACTGGATGTGAGGATCAAAGGTGAGGCCGGAGTCAAGTATGAAGCCAAGACAGCGCGCTGGCAAGGATGGACTTTAACAACCTATAATCCTTATTTTGGTTATAGTACTGGGAATTCCACCTTGCTAATTCTATTAGTTGATTCTATCTGCATTGGTTTGCAAAACTTGCTGCAATTGTAGGTCCAGCCCCCTCTCAAATATGTCACAGGGAAAACCTGTGCTTCATCCTGTCTGTACAAGTACTTGTATGGCATGCAACAGCAGTAATGGCCTCCCCTTTGCTCTTTTTTCATTGATTTGTATGAGAGAATCTGTGTTGCAGCAACAATTACTTTTATTCATGAAAACAATATATGTAAATAAGACACGAAAATCACTCTGGACATGAGTGCACCATTAAGACAAACCTGAATCAATTTTGGATGAAAGAATGTATTACATTTTTGTGATACTGATCCGCACTTTGCATTTTCTCATTAAAAAAATCCAGCTTTGACTTACTAAATAGGGCAGATTGAACTAAAAAAAATGTGGCTACAATTAAATATACATTCATTAATTGCTGTTGCATAGGCACATCTGTAAACTGTTATCTGTAGATTTTATTCTGGATGTCTTGCGCTATCAAGCTGAATTTTTGCATTGATTAGCCTAATTACTGATGTTTGTTGCCAGGCTTATTTGAAAATCAGGGAGGGCTATAGATGAACAGTTGCAAGGTGGGAATATACCGTACTTTTTAATAAATCATAGCAACAAGGTTTTACCTCATTGCAAAAAAATATAAATAAATATGCAGTTTCAGCATATATTGCTTGCTGTAACTGTGTAGCGGGATGACTGTCACATATGTAGACTGAATTAACAGTCAGAGCTTATTAAAATTTAAAGAACCCTTAAAATATATCACTGCTGAAATGTGTTGTGCTGTTATTTGGTATTAACATGCCAATACCAAAACTCAATGAGCTGATGATATGCACTGTGCATACCTCCCAACATTTAAAATGAACAAAAAGGGACTCTTTCAGGTGTGTGGTCAGGAGCGGGGTTGTTCTAAGAATTTATGGGTGGCTTACTAATCATTTTTGCAACTAAAATGTAACTTAGAGTAAAGAACAATGTCTCTGACACACCAACACTATGGTGCTCCTAGAAAACGGACATTAGGATACAAAAGAGGGACAGAGAAATGTGGGTCCAAAATAGGGACTGTCCCTCATAAATAGGGACTTGGGAGTTATGATGGTGACTGGCATTTCGCCATAGCATGAGACAGATAATGAGAGTAAAGAGGTGGTGGTTGAAAAGAGGATCTTACCAAGGCTTTTTATGCCAACCCTCCCTTTGCACACACAGCTAACATAGTGTTTGATAAAGGGCTTCTTGAACTCGGGAGATGAACAATTTGATGTGTGACATGTAGCAAATCTATTGCTGCTCCACACGTCCTCCTTATTCGCCTCCTGTGTGATTGAGATGTCACACATCTGAAATAAGGGATATATATATATACACACACACACACACACACACACACAAAGAATCTCAGCCTTTGTGTGCACTATAGAATTAGAATTATACAGCACCCATGAGGCAATTAATAAAAAAGACCATTCCAATACACAATGGGGCATAGTCAAAATGTTCTGTTATAAAAATAATGCAGAAATATTAAAAGGGCAGAGTCACCAATGGAATGTGGCTGGTAATTCCACTGGTTTCCATGGTGACTGCCCCACTTTTCATTTAAATAAATCTGATCTAGATAAATCTCCCCAGATGAGTGGATCACTGCTGTAGTGGTAGAAACCTATTTCATAATACACACACACACACACACACACACACATATATATATATATATATATATATATAACATTTTTATTGCAGCTACTTTGGGCCTCTGGCAAAGCATGGGAATTCAGCTGAAGCTCCAATAGCCCCTTATGTTATTGTGTTAATCTGGCACTGAGCAAGCAGCGATGTCTTCCCACTTGGAAAGACTTCAAATGCAATGAGTCATATGTGAGGCAAAAAAAAAAAAGTTTTCCTGAGTTATCCCATCCACAGTAAAATAAAACTGAATTCTTCTCTTTTCATGAGCCCTTTGTTTTCTCTTGCAATTGAATTTACAGCAGTGTCAGTCTATCTGCTCTCTGCCAATGGAGGGAAAACACATTAACCCTGTAATCCCCATGTATAAACTGTTCTATAGGATCTTAACTTTCATTGAGTAATGGATCTTTTATACCAGACAGACAATGATCTTCTCTCACAAAGGATCTCTCCTTTTTCATTCCTCTCCCCCAAGGCAATAATTTGTGCTTTACATATGGCTACAATAGTGGCCTTTAAATATATATTTATTATAGACAAATACAAATTTTGCCATTTCTATCAATATTATACGAAACTATCTGTATATATTGTGATCGATAAATCTATATCATAAAGACAGATATTTTTAATTAGCCCAAACCCATCAGTTGTAAAACAAACATGTTTGCAGCAATTGCTCAATGCATTTCTCACCATAAACCTTATCCTCACAGATTGTGTAATTACGTAGCATAAATCAGAATACTTTTTAATGTAAGAGTTGCACATATACATAAATGTGGTATTTTGTGTTGAAAGGGTTACTTACATAGTGATTTTCCTTTTGATTTGCCACATGCAAATCTCCCCCCATCACAATGAAACACTATGTTAAATAGCTAGCATGGAATATTAAGGATGCTGACAGGGGTTAAAACATTTTTTGCAATGTATTGGTGCCTTACAAATTAGAAGGAAAAACAAAAAAAACAAAACAACCTTTGTTATCAAGTTACATCAGTGAAATGTGTGAGCAAGTACATACACACAGGATATTGCACATTCAAAATAAAAACACAATTTTTTTGTTTTTAATTTAAAGAGTTTATTTTGGAAAACTCCTGCATGTTTTTGGAAAGTTTTTGACACAAAAACCAACACAATAACTTTGGCATTACACATTTTTTTTGTACGAAGTGTACAAAACTAAAAACCATCTCAGAATAAGAGCTTTATTACAAAACAATGGGTACATGGTTTTAATAATTAAAATTAAAAAGAGAAGCATCCCCATATCTTGAAATAAATATATTTGTGCAGATTGTCTCTAAGGCAAGGTCCCTATAACGGAACCAATATTCAGTCTTATATCTGGTACTCTTTACCAGGGTCTCCATACTGACTCTGTGCAGTCTGGCCCACTGCCGCCTCCAAGAGGACTAATGGACTGTGGCATATGAGGCAGCTTGTGAGTGAATGTGGTTATCCCTTGCACAGGGGATTGTCCTTGTGGTCCCCCACTAGATGTGACATTGTTGTTGGCATACAGTGGGATGACAGGCCCAGGGCTGGAGGCATAGGCTGGGTTAGGGATGAGGAAGGCAAATTGTCCATCAGTAGCTGGCACCAATTGGAAACCTCCCTGAAACACCTTAGGTGAGACTGACTCCGATGGATTCATCTTGCAAGGAATTGGGACTTGAGTGGGAGCCCCAGGTGCAGAGGGCAGTTGGACATGCAGAGGCTGGTTTGAGGTTGGTTGTTGGTAGTTCATGGCCACTATTTGACCTAAACAGCCAGAGAGATGTCCAAGAAGACGGGTCCTGACTTCTGTATTGACGCCCTCACATGTGGAGAGGAATCTTGTCACTTCATTCATGCACTCATTGAACCCAGCTCTGTATTTGCCAAGGACGGATGGATCAGCTGTCAGAGCAGCTATAGGGAATAACAAAAAATGTGTTTAGAACAGTATAGTATTACACATCGTTACAGAAATATGTTAATCATTGTTATTATTTTATTATTTATATAGCGCCATCAGATTCCGTAGCGCTGTACAATGGGTGGACTAACAGACATGTAATTATAACCAGACAACTGGACGTACAGGAACAGAGGGGAGGAGGGCCCTGCTCCATGAGCTTACATTAAACGACTATATGTACAAATAAACTTTAGGTCACACAGTAAGAGCCCTTTAATTGGATTTATAGCATGTTGCATTAAAACTAAAGAATGCTGGAATAATAAATACAATTCACTAAACTGCCCACACTATACATTCTCTGTGTAGGTGTGTCGAAGCTTATCAATTAAACAGCATTACTTTTTTCGCAAGAGCAATCTATATTATTATTTTTTTTTTTAAATGACCCACATAAAGATGCATGCATATAATAAGCAATGCTGTGTTGGTTACATACCTGTCATTTGGACACGCTGCAGGTTTCGCAGATGTTTCACTGTCATCTCTAGGATATCAGCCTTCTCAAGCTTTGAGTGTCTGGAGCTCTGCAGAAATAAAATCAATCATTAGCCCCAGGTCAGTCAGCATCAGCAGGAAAGCAAGGAGCATGAACAAGGAGATTAGGGGAGATTTAAATGGACTAAATGTAATCAGAAGTTACATTGGCACTAATACCAATACAGAGCCCAGTGTGGCACTGGGGAGCAGATGAGCATGGGTAAGGGGCAATATAAGGAACATATGTAATTTTAAGTAGATATGCCAAGATCAATGCTGGAGCAAAGGGCACTTACATACATCAATGCATGGGCATTCACAGGAAGATCAGAAATATTAACGTAATCTGAGGAGGGGCAGATGTTATTTCCAACTGATAATTAGAAGGGGCACATGCAGTTTGTAAGTGACAGCTTGTCAATAAATCATTAACAGGCAACGATGACTTCCAGGAAAGATGAAACGGTTAAGCAGGAAAAGGAACGTTTCGGGATACAATGTATCAGCAGCATTCTGAGCCGGGAACTTACATCTTTTTTGAGGGCGTCCAAGATGAGTGTCTTTAGCTGTCCCAGGCTCTCATTGATCCGAGCTCTCCGGCGCTTCTCCATGATAGGTTTGGAGGACTGTAAAACAGAGACAAGACAGAGGATAAGCACCAAGACACGGCATCCAGGGATCAGGGCAATGCCACCATACCAGGGGCTCAGGGCAATGCCACCATGTCAGCCCAGGGGTTAGGGGCAATGCCACCATGTTAGCCCAGGGATTTAGGGCAAGGCCACCATGTCAGCCTAGGGGCTCAGGGCAATGCCATCATGCCATTCCAGGGGGCTCAGGGAAATGCCACCATGCCAGCCCAGGGGGCTCAGGGCAATGCCACCATGCCAGCCCAGGGGGCTCAGGGCAATGCCACCATGCCAGCCCAGGGGGCTCAGGGCAATGTCGCCAGGCCAGGGGTAGCAGCTGCTGATTTACCTTTCTATGCTCACTGGCACTCTTAGGCTTGTCTGGGGTCTGTGCGGAGCTGGCAGGAGCCCCTGCAATGGGGGATGCGGTGGGCTTCTCCATAGTGTCAGCAGGCATGATCCGTTTAGGGGCTGAATGCACTGAGTAAGAGCCAAGTTGTATCCTGTTTGCTGAGCGCTGTAGAGGACACTCAGTCAGTGTGATGCGGGCGGACTCAGCGCTCACCCTAGCCGTGTGCCTGTCTCCCTCTCTCTGCTCCGGGCTGCCGGCTGCTGCCCCTATTTATAGCCCGCGCTGCTGCTCCCCATTCGTGTGAAACCTTCTCAACATTCTTTCCCACACTCGCGCCAGCCAATGGCTGCCAGGGGCTCACACACCTCGCCTTCTCATTGGCTGCCCATGCATTCTATTCTCTCTCCCCCCTCTCTCCTCCACCCGCACTCCCCCCCTCCCTCCTCCAGCACACGCGGGCTGCCAGTCACGCGCTTGGCTCAGACCAGGCGCCGGGGATCGGGGCTGGCAATAGAGCAAAGCACAAGCCTTGGGGTAACACGGGTCAGGGAGCCTGGGGGCCCCATACCTGTCAGGATCACTGCCTCCACAGGGTAACCTGTCTGGGCTTCACTGATGTATACACTGTTACCAAAAATCTATTTCAAATATCATCTTTTAAAATAATAATAATAATAATAATTTCACATGTGGGGCTTATTCACTAAACAACGATTTGTAGAGAATTAAAAAAAAAAGTCAGAATTTTAAAAATTAAGGCTAAAATATATTAAAATATAGCTAAATTGGAGAATGTTTCTAGATCAGCTATTTTTATTTTTTTTCATTAAATATTCCCGTTTGGATTTTTAATTTTCAACAATTTGGAGTTTTGTGAATAAACCCCGTCCCCTAAAACAAGTGTTTTATAAGAACCTGGGCACAGTGCCCCTTTTTAATCATAGAACTTGGTGACCTGGATCAGCTGCTTACGCTGTATTAACATCTCCTCCTTTTTGGAAAGTGATGTGGATTTTAGTAAGAACCTGGCGTTAAACATTGACACTGGAGGATCTGGGATTTGCAGAGATTGCTCTGTGGCAGAGTATGTTGGTGCATTACAAGTAAGTGTAGCTCACAGGAATACTGAGCCTGACTGCACCAGTGTTAAAACTGCTAATTCAAAATGTAGTAGCACTTCTGAGTCAATCCAGTTATAAAGGATTCACCCAAATATAATATCCCAGTGTTCTGTGTACAAACCCATTAACATTGCAATCACTCTTCCAAAGATACAGTTACAGAATAAAAACGAATCCAAACAAAATATAATTTTTCTCTATTGTTAACTAAAAAGCATATGATAGTGTAGAAAATTAGGCTGATGGGGTTTACCACTGGAAATGACTTAATGTCATCCTAATGTATTAAACCACTTGAAAAGTACCCAAAAGTTCACGTTTAACCCCTTGCATCTTAGAACAATCTTTGCAAAGCACTGATGTAGACTATAATCAGCTGTGGGTTTCTCTTGGCAGTTAGAGATCCTCATTTAAACACAAACAAAAGTGATATGTGAATAAAAAACAATGCACTTTTAAACCATGCCATAGACACATTTTAAGTGCCAATTATGTAAGAACACAAGTTAAAACGGCGAATATTTACACTGAACATGCCATGTTTTTTTTGGCTCATATACATAGTTTTGGGATTGGGGAGAAATTCGAGTCAAGAACTAACTGGATTTTTATATATATATATATATATATATATTATTATTATTATTATTATTATTATTATTTTACTACTACTGTTATAAGGGATGCTTTAACTTTTATTTACTGTAAACATACAACGGTTTCTTCGCTTAAACTGCCTTACAATGACACTTTAAAAAAACAAAACAAAAACTTTCAAAAGTAAATATTTCCATCATTTAAAAAAATCCACGGTTGACTGATTTGAGATCTGTTTGCAGTTTACACTGTTTCGCTACAATGATTTATACCCATTTTTTAGTAGTGTGCTGCTCTTGTCTTCTCTTGTCTTTTGTGTAATCCCTAAACTCCATTGCGGCCTTATTAATTGATTTTCAGTTGGTAAGCAGTTAATAAATATTTACAACATAGATAATATACCACACTCTATTCTAAAATTATTAGATTATTTGACCTTTTTACTGGCAGCAGCATATATAATACAAAACTTGCCCAACTGACCTAAAATTGTAAATCCTGAACAAACACCCCTTGTGGATTGTAAGCTCTTGTGAGCAAGGATCTCTGCCAGCTTCTGAATTATCATTTGTAAAGCGTCAACAAATTCCGCAGCGCTGTACAATGGATATTTTTAAACATTTCTCTTTTACATTTTTTTCTATAGTTTTTAGGACATTGTTATGTCTATAACATTACTTTATCGATGACATATAATTTATAAATTTCACTTCTTCAAGAAAGCATATCAATTAAACTGTTGTTAGGTTTTTATCCCCCACCCCCTATGACTCCTCTCCTGCAACTGTCAAAAATGACCTACTAAGCCATCAGTGAATACTCTTCTAAAACCCTACTTTTTCCCCCTACTTTTACCCTTTGTGTCACTATACCCCACTCCCTCTAGAATTGAGCAGGGCCCTCCACCTCTCTGTTCCTGTACGTCCAGTTGTCTGGTTACAATTACATGTCTGTAAGTCCACCCATTGTACAGCGCTACAGAATCTGTTGACGCTATATAAATAATAAAAAATCTATATGTATATAGTGAAATAACAGATGAAATGAGTATCTTGTAACACCAGGTTGACCGTACTTTGAGATTTACTCATAATATGGAAATTTAAAGCCACAGGAGGCCTAATAGCTGGACTAGTAATCTATTAATCTTAAAATCAGCCAGTTTCCAATCTTTGCCTGAGGGGATCTTAACAACAACACCTATCGTTCCAAGACCGCACATTATATTTTCCATAGAAAATGTTTTGTACATATATTTTGCCGGAATACAATTAATTTTAACTTTTCTAATTGTTGAGTTAGGTGCGTACACTAGTATAACTACTGAAACTATTGTATATATTTGTTCATTATTCCAACTTTAAAAAACTTGTATATGTCAAAGGGAAGCTGGTCTAAATTACATATATGCTGGACTGGCTGGGGTAATGCAGAGATTATTTTAGTATGGTATTTATCACATGTTTATGCATAGTACATGTGTAAATACCCAATAGCATGCAGTGATTTTTTTATTGCATGTATATTTCATTGATTTAATTGTCATAAGAGCACTCCTTAAAAAAAAAAAAAAAAATTTGTTCAAGTTAATCTTTGCCCCAGGCTCTTCCAGTAATTGGAGTTAAGATCTACATTTAGATAACTATAGATTTAGAGTATATGTATCTGTATATATATATATATATATATATATATATATATATATATATATATATATATGTGTGTGTGTGTCTATGTAGATTATGGCAATTTTGTGTTTATATATATATATATATTTACACAAATACAAAATTGCCATAATCTACATACAAACACCCCCAGATTAAAATTTGTGGTTTCAGCACTACCCCATCAATGGTGTCAAAAGAATATTAGAAATAGTGAGATTCTCATACAGGCTGAAAAATACATAATAATAATCAGAAATAAAATAAGACATACCTGGGCCCATTGTAAGCCGTTTAGTATAGGAGATTAGCCTCTTTTATTAAAAACATTAGCAGCGTTATTCAAGTGAGAATTTAAGGCCAAAATAGCCAACTAAAAGCATAACCAATATAGAAAATTTGTTTTGTTTTTTTTTTGGGGGTTATTTTGGCTTTAACCCCTTAAGGACCAAACTTCTGGAATAAAAGGGAATCATGACATGTCACACATATCATGTGTCCTTAAGGGGTTAAATGTTACATTTGCTTTGCATTTCCCACAATTCCCACTTTAGCTAAAAATTCAGTAGTTTAGGACTCAAGAAAAAAGGGTACTTTAATGCAATGGTGAGCATGTTTCTTTTACCATATTTTTGCAATTTTGTGGTTAATTTACATATATAAGCTCATGATGCATCAAGAAATACCATTGTTTTTAGAATGATGGGTGAGCCATCTATCAGGCTAACCTGTTGCATCATCCTAACACTTAATAAATTATGTCTATAGATATATGTATGCAGGCAGGATATCTAAAAAGTGACATTGGTTTGCGTTCAATTCCCTGTGTAGCAAGGCATTCTGGGAGCATTATGAAAATGCAATATTTGGAGCAGCTGTGTGCAGGATATTTTTTTAAATCCACCTTATGTCGTGTTGATATATTATAACAGTATATATGACTATAGATAAAGAGGCATAAAATATATATAGACAGACTTTTACAGGTGGGGACTAATCAGAGCTAGTATGTATTACTTGCTGTTAAAATTGCCAAAAACAATTAAACATGTTATATTAACACAACATGGGAGGTTGGGGATCAGGTCACCCCACTATCAGACTGGGGGAAGGTTGGGGGGTCAGGACACCCCACTATCAATCAACGGGGAGGTTGGGGGTCAGGTCACCCCACTATCAGACTACGGGAAGGAATGGGGGTCAGGTCACCCCACTATCAGACTGGGGGAAGGTTGGGGGGTCAGGTCCCCCACTATCAGACTGGGGGGTCAGGTCCCCCCACTATCAGACTGGGGGAGGTTGGGGGGGTCAGGTCCCCCCACTATCAGACTGGGGGGAGGTTGGGGGGTCAGGTCCCCCCACTATCAGACTGGGGAAGGTTGGGGGGGGTCAGGTCCCCCACTATCGGACAGGGGGGAGGTTGGGGGGTCAGGTCCCCCATTATTAGACAAGGGGGAGGTTGGGGGGTCAGGTCCCCCCATTATTAGACAGGGACAAGGGGAGGTTGGGGTCAGGTCCCCCATTGGCTGGGACAGGGGAGTTCGTTAGGGGTCCCCCATTATTAGACAGGGGGGAGGTTGGGGGGTCAGGTCCCCCCATTATTAGACAGGGTGGAGGTTGGTAGGTCAGGTCCCCCCATTATTAGACAGGGGGGAGGTTGGGGGTCAGGTCCCCCATTATTAGACAAGGGGGAGGTTGGTAGGTCAGGTCCCCCCATTATTAGACAGGGGGGAGGTTGGGGGGGTCAGGTCCCCCCATTATTAGACAAGGGGGAGGTTGGTAGGTCAGGTCCCCCCATTATTAGACAGGGGGAGGTTGGTAGGTCAGGTCCCCCCATTATTAGACAGGGGGAGGTTGGG